AAATTTTTAATAGTATAATATATGTAAGTTGTTTATATAAATGTATTAAAGTGAAAATCTTGTAAAATAAATTATTATTTTACAAGATTTTTTAATTATTTTTAATGTAATACATACTATTTAAAATTAAATAGTATGTATTTAAAAAAATGATTTTAAATGCATACTTATTAAATTATTTGTTTACGATATTTTATATATAAAATATTTTAAATATAAATATCTAAAATAATAATTAACACATTTATTTTTTTATTACAAGTTTCATATTTTTTTATTTTTAAATTTCATAAGTTAACATTTATTACAAGTTTTATACTTTTTATAAACAAGTAAATTTAGTTTAACCAGATAAAAAGAACAATCTACTATTTAGACAAATATTTATTAATGAGTCTTGATTATTTTATAAAAAATTTAATTTAATGTAGTCATTATTTATTTAAAGTCCTAAAAATTAAATAGTGTTAAAGGAAACCTACAACAACTTATTTTAAAGCTGAGATAATAATTTTTATTTTTTAAAGTTTAAATGTTGATAATAGATATAGTTGAACTTTAAAAAATAAAAATTATATAGTTAATTAAACAACTCAATTATTGGATAAACAATATTCTTAAATGTATTTTCATATAGGATGTTCCCATAACATTTTAAACAACCTTGTTTTTTCATGATTTAAATTTTTCTTTCGATTATTTTTAAATTATAAAAATTTTTATGAAATATTTTGTTTTATTAATCTTTTTGGAATCTACAAAACAAGTTGATAAAGTCCAGTAGTAAAAGAAAATTTAAAAAAAGGAAGCAGTTTGACATTATAATCATAAAGAGAGCTATTGAATCAGTTATTAAACCTGCTTTATCAATCAAATCATCTGCATAAAAAAGGAGTATTTCTTTTAATACTTTTAAAATAATATTATCCAGAGCATGCAACTTTGCCTATATATATATATATATATATATATATATATATATATATATATATATATATATATATATATATATATATATATATATATATATATATATATATATATATATATATATATATATATATATATATATATATATATATATATATATATATATATATATATATATGTATGTGTGTGTATATATAAAAAATGCAAAAAAAGAAAAAAAGTTTAGCTAAAGTGTCTTATGGATTTTTCTACATAATATGAGTTCACAGCTAAAATTTTAAGTATGCTGGATGCTTGTAACAGCTACAAGTAAAAATCCATTTTTATTTTATAAACAAGTATATTTATACAATAAAATAATATCTTTTATATTGTATAAGGTATTTTATGTGATTATTTCAGACATTATAAATAATACATCAACTTCGGAATCAGGAAAAATGAGGTTGGCAATAATTTGCCGACCTCAATCTTTTTGAGGTCGGTATCAGGTCAGCAAAAATTATTTGATACAAAGGTCTGACCATAAAACATAGAAACAAGGTTGACAATTTTTTGCCGACCTTAAACACTTTCTGATCAGGTTGGCATTTTCGAATGCTGACCCTAATTATAATGTTAAAAATCAATTTATTTAACGAGTTTCAGCAGATATTATTTACCTGTTCAAATTTACGTAACAGAGGAAATAGTAGATTAATGCTGATATACAATAAAAATACTTTTGTTTGTTTTTATTTATATTATTTTATTCGTAATCATATAAACAATGCCCACTAACTCCTCTGCCCTCTTTATCCTTATTCTAAATCTTAGGACCCCACCTCTACTACTGTCTGCCATTAAATTCTTATTATATTATTACTCAATACACTTAAAAGCACAGTTTATTAATTTTTATATTTAATTTTATAAATGTGTAAATCAATTCTTTGTTTAAACATTTAAATATTTCAGAAAAATGGGAAAAGCTAAAGCTAAAAAATGAGCTGTATTTTTTGTATGTTATTTCCCCCGGGGTTAAAAGATTCAGACCAATCAAGACAAAGTAACTGATGGACCTTGCAACACTGTGACTGAAGAATACTGTTTGCTCCGAAGTATTGTAAATATTGGGGCCTCTTGTGGTTTTTAGAACTATATTTTTTCAGAAGTAAGCATACTAAACAATTTTTTAGAAATTTAAAAGCAATATAAAGCTGTTTGTAATTAAAAAATACCTAATGAAACCAAAATCTCAAAAGCAGCTAGAAAAGTTCCTGATAATGACAGATAACCTGTTTGGCATCAGTTCTCAAGAGTTTGAGTACACTATGCGTTAGGATACTTATATGCTAGATAGTGCTACAATATAAAGACAGTGCAACAATATAAAAAGAAACAGTGCTACAATATAAAAAGACTTATTATTTATTTCCTAATCATTTTTCTCTCTCCCCCATCCTTTTTAATATCATGTCATGCAAGAGATAAAAATTTTGATTTCTTTATTTTAAAAAACTTCTTTGATAGGTTCTCCCCAGCTGTACCATGATAGAGAAGATTATCACCCAGACTTAAGCAATGAACCAACTTTGGCTGATAAGCCTGATAGACCTAAAAGACGCAGATCACTAGGGAAGGTTTGATTGCAGCAACCATGCTATTGTGTATCAGAGCTGGTACCAGTATAAGAAATCAAACTCTATTCATCTCTAACATTGTAAATTATCCTAAAGGAGATATCACAGAGTTAAGGATAAGCAGAGAGTCAATTAGAAGAGGCAGATACAAACTAATCCATTCTGAAGGTATCAAATTTATACTGTTATACAATCCATTCTGAAGGTAACACTTTATACTAAATTAAATTATACATTTTAGCTTTTAGATTGTAGTAATATAAAAATCTGTTTTAAGTCAAGACAAGTTGTGTTCATATCATAGATAAACATTAGAAAATAAGTTAAAAGTTAATTAAACTTTCCAAAACAAGTTATTGAATGAGATATTCACAAAAAACTATTTAATTTTTAAGGCCATTTTGTTTCTTGCAAAGGAAAGTTCTGGCTCTTTGACTTTTTTTATTTTTTAAATCAGGTCTGATTGATGCGCTTATATGTGACGTCAATACAAAAAGTTTCTTTTGAAAAACTTTAAGTTTAAATTGCAGCGGTTTCCCCTTTGGCGGTTAAACAAAAATATAAAGTTCAAGTTAATCAATTTTATATATATCTGAAAAATATATATTAGATCATTTTAAAAACGATTTCTTGAATTAGAAATATAAATTATTATAAACAGTTAAAAATTATATAAGATCATTTTTAAAACAGTTTCCTAAATTTATTAAAAAAAAAAAAGATTTTTAAATCCTACAAAATTTAACCATATTGGATTATATTGTACTAAGTGATGTATATAAAAAAATTGATTACCTATTTTACAAAAAAAAATATTCATCTTGTGTATTGTGTATTGTGTAGTTCGCTTCACTTAATCACTATTTTTATTATGTTATTTTATTTAAGTCAAACACTTAACGATACATTGAACAAAAAACAAAAACATGCTACTTAATATCTCATTCAGTAATTTGTTTTGGTTCAATTAACATTTAACTTATTTTCTAGTGTTTATCTTTGATATGAACACAACTTGTCTTGATGCTTGGGGATCCCTATTAGATTGCTAATTGATAAAGTTATTAAATTTAAAGATAAAAATCTGTTTAGGTTGTAAAATCCGTAATGAGAATATGGAAACAATTAAGAACAAACCATTGGTGCTACACTTTGATGAAAAAATTGTAAAGCATATAGAAGAAGAATCGAGGAAAAGAGTTCTTATTAATAGACTAGCAATATCAGTTACAAGTCCTGAGTTTTTGTCAACCAATGATTTACTTCTTGGAGTTGTTCCTGTAGACAATCGAAAAGCTAATGATCTGGTTATTGTACTCTAGAATCTGATAGAATATTTCAAAATATCAGAGAATGTAATTGCTGTTTGTACTGACACAACAGTTATAAACACAGGAAAAAAATCAGGAGGAATTGTAGCTTTAGCCAAAATTTTACAGGAGCAATTTATGGAAACAATTTACGGCTCTCGCAAAAGTATAAAAGTATAATTTTTCTTACAAAAGTATAATAATAGTTGTAACTAAATTAAAAAATAAAGTGTAGTTTTAAAAAATTAATTGCATAATATACTGCAATGCTTTTTAAAAAGCACGGTTGCTGCAAAAAAAGTTAAAATTAAAAAAAGAGTCGATTTAAATGAGGAGCAGCTCACACACCTCCCTAAGTTCATTTTAGGAGAGCTTTTCTCTGCTCTCGTGCTCATTTATTCCCGCCGAGGCCTACATATATATATATATATATATATATATATATATATATATATATATATATATATATATATATATATATATATATATATATATATATATATATATATATATATATACACATATATATATATATATATATATATATATATATATACATATATATATATATATATATATATATATATATATATATATATATATATATATATATATATATATATATATACACATATATATATATATATATATATTATATATATATATATATATATATATATATATATATATATTTATATATATATATATATATATACTTTCAAGATGTTTTATATATATATATATATATATATATATATATATATATATATATATATATATATATATATATATATATACTTTCAAGATGTTACAAATGATCTAAATGTTTACCTAGTTTACCTTTGTAAAGTATAAATCTTTTTTCTGTTTATAGATTTGTTATAAGGGAACCATTAAAACATGTCAAAATTATCTCAGAGGGTAATTATTGAATAAGGATTTTTTTTACATTTTACAGAGTCATTAGAAAAACAAGCTAATTTAAGCAACATCTAGAACAAGTCTAAATACCGGTTCAAATATAAAAACTATATATAAACTTGGACAAATATTATATTATTTGTAAATATAAATAAAATTTACTTGTAAATAAATTTGTAAATGTTAGTTTAGTTTTTGTAATAAAGTTTTACCATTTTCTGTTTTTTTGTTTAGTGTATGTATATTACAAATATTTACTAGTAATGAGGGATGGCAGCTGATATATTAATTGTTTAACATGGCTGATCGTTTGTTTATGTATAGGTAAGTGTAGTTTAAACTTTTTAAATATAGGATAAAAATTAACTAAAAATCAGAATTTATACATTAAGGTTCAAATTAATTAATTAGTTAAAAAGATAATTATAATAAATAAAATAATAAAAGCAACACAAAGTTTTTGGATCTTCTTTTTTTGAGGTCATTCTGATTTAAAAAATATGAAATTTATAATGATGCAGCTTAGTTTTCAGCATTATTTTTTTATAATTTTTATGTGAATTTTTTACCAATATTAAAACATGAATTATTTAATAATAGAAATTATTTATTAACTTTTTAATAGATTTATAATATAATAGATATAACCCTTCGCTAATCACATAGTTTTGATTAATATCACTTTCCTGTGAATTAAGGAAATTCAAAAAAAAATAAAAGGAAAGAAGTTTTTTTACAAAAATCTAAATTATAATAAATCTAAAATAAATCTAAAAGAGCCGTTTTCTGAGAAAATCAGGCGGTGCTTATTTGTTTTCGCGCTAAAAGTTACCTCTCTATAACTACAAATACTTGGATAGATTTTATAATATTAAGTTTGCTGAAGAACAAATCATTGGTTACAAAAACACATTTAATGCGTGATTATTTACAAAAAAAAAAATCAAAGTTTTTTTTGCTTTTAAAAACATCGATGAAGAATTTGGATTTTGGTTAAGCCAAAAGGTTCTACTATCCTTGCAGTATAAACAATGTACTTTATTTTCATTCGGTTAAAAAATAAACACCTTTTGAACATAAATCAATCATTTTGATTCTGTTCCTAAAATTTAAATTAAGTTTACTTTTTTCAAATGAGAATACAAATTTTGAAATGTTTTTCAAATTATCTTAATAAAAATCATTACTCTTCTGAGGTTGTCAGTAATGGTTAAATGGTGAGCTGTTTGAAATATAGTTCTGGAGTCAAGATTTTAATTGGTCAACTTTTCAGGATGTTGTAAAGTGATCATTTATAAAATTCTACCACCATTTCATTTAAAACAGCACAATGACTATAAGCTTGTAGAAATAAGAGTTTAAAAAAGTCTAAAATAAATTTCAAGTAACAATGCATAAAAGTAAACAACATATAAGGATCAGGGGTAGCAAAAGCCTTCACGCGGACTGGGACAGTAACCTTGAGTGACGTACCTTTTTTTTTAGAACTTCATTTTATTAGGCATTTCTTGGATATATGTTGCCTGGGTCAAACTTTCCCTTGCACAATTTTTTGCAAAACATTCTCATTTGACATGAATGTCAAATGAGAATGAAAAATTGCAGTGATTGGAGCCTGGGAACCAAAATAGCTATATGATAATAGATCATCACCCCCCCCCCCATATCCTAAATATGAGGACAATCAGTAGTAACATTTTTTTACTAGCTTATACTAAATTTAAATTTATCAACATTTAGTGTTCAAAAGTTTTGATCATGTAAAATTTAAACCACAAATTTGCTAAAAATGAGACTTTTTGCAAATCCAGCCCCGGCAAAATTATAAGATTTAGCAGGGGTTGATAGCCAGGGCTCGAAATAAATTTATAATTTTTTATATATTATAATTTAATACTTACTTTTACTATTTATTAAATTATAGCATATATTTATGCTAGTATTTAATAAATAGGGACAGATACAGTAAAAGGATGCATCTTGATAGCCCCTGTCAAATATAAACCCTGGTCGCTTACTACCCTTATTTAGAGATTATTGGAAATGTTACTGATGATGATGATGATGATGATGATGATGATGATGATGATGATGACAATGATGATGATGGTGATGATGTTGATAATGATGATCATGGTGATGATGTTGATAATGGTGATGTGGATGATATTAATAATGATGATAGCAATGATGAATTTCATGATCATGATGATGATGATTACTATAATGATGATGATGATGATGATGATGATTATAATGATGATGATCATGATCATGATCATGATTATAATGATGATGATCATGATGATGATGATGATCATGATGATTATGATGATCATGATGATCATATTGGTCATAATGATGCTTATAAAAGCATATATTTACAAAATCAAACATAAATTTTGAAAAAAAAAAGTATTTTAGGATCTATAAATATTTATGCTGCCCCGGTCACAAACCTGGCCCCAGCCCTGGCTATATTTTATCAAACCCGGTTTTGGCTCTAGCCCCTGTCAAATATAAACCCCGGTTGTTTACTACCCTCATTTTGAGATGAATGGAAATGTTACATGGTTACAACTTTGAACACTAAAAGATTATTAAATGAAACTTTAAACCTGTTGATAAACTTGAATTAAGTATAAAAAATCTAAAAAATTTTTAAAAAATTTATTGCCCTCACATACCCCAGTAGCTGGAGTGATCTTTTAGATGTATTTTTATTCCCAGGCTCCAAGAAGCATTTTTATTAGGGCACTGTGATAAAGCTAATTTATGTCTTTTTGCTCTAGCCATTAATATAATATTTCTATGTTTTTGTACTTTGTTAACATTTTTAAACAGTGAAATAAACTTAACTAAAAACTAATTAGGGGGGAGTGGGGCACCATGATGCATAAGACACCATGAGCTATTGTAATTGTTAAAGCATTTTAAGAATTGTGTAACAATAAAAAATCACTTATATCAATTAAATTTATCAGGTCTGCAAGAGGTTGAGTTTTGTGGGTTTTTTTATGAAAAGCAATATATTAGTTTTTAAAGTTGCTAAGTTTCAAGGTATTTTAATCAATTCTCCTATGAGCAAGTAGCATTGTTTTGCAAACTATGCTCCGTAGCTCTTTACGTCATTAAAAAAAACTATTAAAAAAACAATTTGATACTAAACATAAAGCAATTATTTTTTATTAGCAAGTTTGAGGTATCATGATACAGCATTTGTGGGGACCTAAAACTGTAGAATAGTACTCCATTGTGTAATAAACAACTTTAAAAATCATTTTTGTCTCACAAGTTTAACCTGTTATATTTTGGCAATTAGTAAATTTTATTTTTTAAGTATAAACATATTTTATAAATTAAACCAATTGCTTAAAAAAAGGGCCTATTAAAAAAAAACAATAAATTGTGAGTCACTCAACTGTAAATGCATGACTTTAATAGTAAATCAAAAATACTAATGAAATTTGCGATTATAATAAAATAATAACAATCCAATTTTTATTTGGAATTGGCCTTCTCATGTTCCTTGAGTTTATTTTTAAAAGTATTTAACTTAACAGAGTTAACAGCATCATGAGTTGGACTGTTCCATTTATTAACAATCCTATTAGTAAAGTAATGCGTTCTTGCTTCCAAGATACAAACATTTTGTTTGTGTAACCGTTTATTATGACCTTTTAATTTTGGATATAAGTTGTTTATTGGAGGGCATTTCCAATTTACTTTATGAATGTCATTTTGAATTTTATAATATTCCATTATATCACTCTTTGTTTTTCTAATGACGTCAATCCAAATTCTTTTTATAATAAGGATTCCAAATTGGTGAAGCAAATACCAAATGGGTTCGAACTAACAAACAATATAGCAGTTTCATTAGGTCTTTATCTAAGTATATAAAACAATGTTTTATTTGACCAAGTATTCTGTTTGCTTTTCCTGGGATCATATCTGCATGATTCTTCCATTTTATATCATTAGATATTAGGACCCCTAGATCTTGTTCCAAAAATATTTTTATCATAGTGTAATAATTTTCATTGCTTGTTGTTTGGCTCATATAATAATTATAGCAAGGTTTCTTTTTTTCCTATAAGCATAATTTTGCATGTTTGGTTGTTAAAGTTGTTCAATAAATTCTCTTGCATAGCATAGTTATCGTTGATATTTGTAATCACCGAATTAATTTTTTTATCGTCAGCATACAGCTGACAGCAATATTTTATTTCTTGTGATATATCATCAATATAGATAACAAATAATGCCACAGGTCATTATTTGTTATCTATATTGTTAGGTCCGCTAATACTGAGCCTTGTGGCACTCCACTTGTTACCTCTTTTCATTCTGATTTAGAAGTACCAAGGACAGTTTTTTGAATTCTATTAGTCAGATATGCTTTAAACCAGTTTACTATAACTTTATTTTCACAATATGCTTTTAATTTTATTAAAGGGATTCCCAAGCGTCAAGACAAGTTGTGTTCATATCAAAGATAAACATTAGAAAATAAGTTAAATGTTAATTAAACCTTCCAAAACAAATTATTGAATGAAATGTTAACAAAAGCATTTGCTGTTTTGCTATTATACTTCCGGTTGAGAGCCTAATTTTAGGCTCTCAAATCTGCAAGTTTTTTCTGTTAAAAAAACATCTGGTTTCAATAATGGATAATTTCTTTCACCGCAGAGTTTTTTAAACAGTTCAGTTTTACATAATCAGATTGGGGTTTCCCCTTCAAAAATAGTCTGCGGTGGTTATAAAAAACGTTCACAAACATACTCTACATGTTTAACTCAATTTAGGTTTTTTAAAAAAAACTTTTTTTATTGACCTCAAATGTTAAATACAAAAACGCTTCAGTTAAACAGTTCAGCTTTACATAATCAGATTGTGGTTTTCCCTTCAAAAATAGTCTGTGGTGGCTATAAAAAATGTTCACTGTAGCATGTTTTTATTTTTGTTCAACGTATTGTGAAGTGTTTGAGTTAAAATAAACTAGCGCAATAAAAATAGTAATTAATCGAAGCGAACTCATCTTCTACTAGCAAAAAGCAACCCGTATTACGGGTTTTGGTCGGTCTGTTACATAATTAATTTATAGTGGCTGTTTTCCACAATTTAATGTTGCAAAACCTTAACTAATACCCTTTTCGAAAATCGCCTTCAGCTTGAAAAAATTAATCCATCTGTAAAATTAACATAAAAAGTATGAGGAGGTAAAATGATTAGCAAACTACTACTTAACATTTACAATTACTACTTAACATTATTTGAGTAATTAACAAATGGCATAGTTCATAACAGTGTAAGGCAGAACC